CATGGTGACTTCATAAACTTTTAACATAATTTTTTGACGTTATTGCGATGTATTGAGTTATCATTAAATATAGTTATATGTTATCCCAAAAATACACACTGATGTCAGCACCATCAATTAAAACTTACCAAGCACTCAAAGACAAAGTAGTATTAACTGTTAAAACTCAAATCACCTCAAAGAGATATTTTATATAAATCCTATCACATTTTAAGATAAGGATTAAGAAATGGTCCTCACGTGTCAAGACAACTTGTAAAAACACTTATTACATTGACCTCAAAAATATAAATTGGCACATCTCTTCACGAAAATGGGAGGTTGGGCATATGTGAGTTAGGCACAAACATGAGATTCAACCATTATTTTTCTCTGTAAACAAAATATTTCTCCATTTTTGTATGTCTTACAGGCAATGAAAAATAGTCAGAAAATAATAAAATAACAGTGAATGTAAGATTCGCTTTAAGCATCCGAACCATTATAAAAATTTCTCTTATCAATCTCTTATTTATGTTTCTCCAAACATATATCATCTCAGTACTATAATCAACTTTCATAATCAATCACGTATAATTTTTAATATTTTCGTATAAGGTCGTTGATGTCAAAATCAAGTATCAACGTTATGTTTATCTTCTCTTTTATCACTATGAGATAAACAAAGATAAACAACTCAAGTGTCTAAACGTAAATTAAAATTCTAAGTTACTTTATCATGACCCATCAAAATATAATCATATAAAAGAGTAAATAAATGGGAATATTTAACAAAATTTTTAAATGGGCATTCAATAGTTTCTTCAAAAGGAGGAAAATATGCAAAAACAAAGACCCAAATCTTGGGGCTTGAGCCACCCCAACCAAAGCTTTTTGGGTCAACCAAGCAAGCCATGTGCTTTTTCTACCAAGTTTTACCAACATAGTCTCAATTCAACTGTGACTATGCTGTTATTATTGTCCATTCAATCTAAACCTTACACATGTTTCAATCGTAGTGGGTCTCTCTAGATTCTTTCTCATGATTTTTCAAACTTAGCCTAACTCTCTTACTATAAATACACTCTACCTTCCATGCATTCAAAACAAGAGCTAAACAAAGTACACTTTGTTCTTAGTTCTCGAGGTGTTATTGTGTGAAGAGAGAAGCAGATTTAGCATCCATTCATATTGTGATAATGGGAAGTAACAAGCAGAAGAAAGGCTTCTCTCTATTCAGCATGTTCAAACCCAAGGGGCCTAGAAGATCTTCTGGTGAGTCTGCACGGGAGGATAACACAGGAAGTGGAATAAGGGTGTGCCGAAGTGATGACGACAAAGGCTCTTTGGTTGCTGACCCTCGTATCAACCAGAAAGCTACGGAATTCATCCTGAACATCCACAAGACTCGCTTCTCTGAATCTGAACTTCATGCTGTTTATAAACCCACAGCTGCGGTTGGGAGAGCTTGAACATCATATCAGAAATAGCTAGTTTCATTTAATTATCAATGTCTATATCAGTTAATTAATTCCTTGTATGTCTCTGTTATTTATTCTTAACTCTTGTAATCATGTTCATAGCTCGTGAATCACAATAATGAATTCCAACAAAAAAAAATTTATTAACATCTCTCTTGATCTTTCTCTGTACAAATTGAATGGTGAACTTACTTGAAATTGCAAGCAATTGATGCATAATATATACTAAAGTTGAATGAACTTTCGCCCCCTGTTATTTCAAGCCTATCTTTTCAATTTCATCGTTTCTTCGCTTCGAAGTTACGGTAAATTTCCGAGAATGATCCCCATGGTTTTGCCTGCAGTATATTTCCAAGCATAAGCTGCAATGGTAATGTTGAATAGATTTGAGCCCTTGTTACCGCAGCCATATCTTTTCGATTTCAGCGTTTCTTCGCTTCGAAGTTAATGTGGATATGGAAGAACGATCCATGGTTTGGCCTGCTGGGTATTTCCAAGTATAAGCTGCAATGGTAAAGTTGAATGAATTTGAGCCCTTGTTATTGCAAGGATATAGTTTTTCAATTTCATCGTTTCTTTGCTTCGAAGTTATTGTAAATTTCAAAGAACGATCCATGGTTTGGCTGCAATGGATTTTTTTTTACAGCTGTTGAGAGTTCAGCTTTTCTTGAAACTCTTGAGATTCTAGTATAAAGCATAGCAGGTGCTTCTTGTTCAGGAATCTTACAATATTTATTATAATTTCTAAGAGAGATTGTTCTTTTTTCCTTACATACATTATTGTACTTAAGGCATATTTTGATATTCGCAACCTTTTCAGCTTTCTGTCTCTTAACTTTTTTGTACTTTCTTTTAGATGATTGATAACCAATTCATACCTGTAATTAAACTTTGGATACTATAATTAATCACAAGTATAATAACGTTTAGTTCAATTAATTACTACTTCAAATGATGAAAATTTGGTGTCCCTCTTGATTATTTGAAAAGCCAATTGATAGAAATGAAATGTTCAGTATGAAGAACAAACATGAAATAATGTTATGCATTAAAGTCATCCTGGGAAGATGCTCCCAGGAGGAAATGATTGTAAAGGGATGGTGATGGTTGTTACAAAACCCCCTGAAAATGAAATATTCTTCCAAGTGCAAGTCAAGTAACTGAGATATGAATTTGACATCCAATTGCAATTATGTTACATCAATACTTTCTGGACTTCCATCGATTGGTCATCCCAGCACGAATCTTACCACAATTGTCAATATTCTCTCCATCATTTGATTACCAGCTGCATAATTCTCTAATATTTGCTTAAGTTCTGTTGCAGTTGCTTGGCAATATCAAGACTGCAGAAATACTGATTTTTTGACGCCCCATAAGATAAGTTCTACTCTATTTTTGGCATTCTTGATTCAGATATTTTGTATTTCTTTCTATGATGGTGAAAGCTCTTTTAAACATCCATTCAAAGAATAATAGAAAAGTGAAAGTGGTGCCAGGCTAAAAGCCTAAAAGTAACTTTGCAATGGGCAAGTTGTTCAGCTTTACGTATAGCTGGACTAAAGGATACCCATATATGTTTATGCTAGCTTCTCATTAGAAAAGCTCTGACCATTTTGAGCCCTTCAAAATTTCTCTTTTCTACTCCACTATAATGGTTCTCTGTAGCTATAAGCACTTTGTTTTTTCCTTGTATCTAGCCAATCTTTCTGCCTATATACGTATATGATCTTTTCTGCTTTTAGATTAATCTTGTTTCAGAGAATTCTTAAAAGCTTTTTCAAGATATTTTGTTTTCTGTGCATATAAATGTAAAATGTCCGACAGAAACTCCATCTTCAAGCAACAAAAGAGCTAACTATGTATTTTTAGACTTATCTTATTAATAGCCAGAAGTAAAAAAGAAAACTATCAGATTCTCACAGTTGGATGAGCACTGGGAAAATATCTCACAATGGCCAAGTGTAACTTCTCATAAGCCACTCAAAAAATCAATGACTCTCAATTAAATTAGTTATAATAATTAAAACTCTTCATTAGCACACTACTTCAAAACTACGTGCGCGGGCAACTCTTCACATCCATCATCCATGGTGCGGTTGCAGCTTTAAACACACTTTTTCTGGTGGAAAACACAATGATTTTACCAGAATCATGTTAACCTTTTTGGCAGATTGAGCGAGCAGGCGCGTGTGAGTATTTTTCTCAATGCATGAAAGTGAACTTGGAAAGATGATGAATTTTGCAACTTGCAAAATTGATCTAAAGTTGATAGATTCTGTGGTAGGAAAATTCTGATTCAATTTACTTAGAAATATGGAATATGCTCCATTCAAAAATGAACTTTAAGTTACAAGATATATAGAATTTCAACACTCCATGGTTAGGAAGAATTATACCTATGATAATAATGTATGGTGCAATTTGGTCACTCAAAATTAATAGTTAATGTGGGAATCTAATCTTGTTGAAATTTACTGTGAAAATTTTGAAACATGAATTCAAGCCAACCAAATGATCATGCATCTCCCACATTGGACCCCTTTTCTTGATTTCAATCTGCATAATCCCCAGGATTGATTCCTTTATGGAGCTCACACGCCAAAGAAAATTAAGTACATTTAGAACAAAGTATTCCTCAGAAGGCTATTGCCAAATTAGTAGAATGGCTTGTCATGTTCTGGGAAAACAAAATAGTTTTACCTAGTCAAGAATGGCAATAAGAATTGGTATTCTGTGACTACAAATACATGGTAAATATCGTATACCTCAGAAATTTAATAAATTAACCTACTTCTCATTAGGGTACCATATAAATCAACATCATATATATTAACAGATATATCTTCAAGATTTTCAAGATAATAACATATTAATAAGTAAATCAAATGGTGGATGCCACACATGGTTATTCATTTATTACTGAATTTGTAACTCTTATCAGCTGTGCTGGATGAACTTTGATTCGGTGCTTCTTCTGCAGCCAATTCGACCTTTTAATAATATACTAAACATTGCTACATTCTGTTCTGTAAAAATTTATTGCATTTTGTACTTATATGTACCTTATATCCAAACATAGTAATTCACAGGGCATTACCTGTCACACTTATTGTGTAACATGTATGTAATGTGACCAATTCGATGATAGACAACAAAGGAAGCAGACATGTTCTTATCAATACTTGCGTAAAATTTGATTCAATTGTTGAACATTCAATGCAGCGAAATTGTTGCTCAAGTTCAAGAGGGCACTGAACATGATGTTATAGGATAATTATTACCCTGTATACAACACTGAGATCAAGATATGTGTTTGGATCGTTATCGACAAAATTTTTGATCATATATACATTCTACGCGGCGAAATTGTCAATCAAGTTCAAGAGGACATTAAACATGACGTTTTAGGATCATTATTGCACTGCATACAAGGTTCTTGCTGATTACAACATTAAGATCAAGTTATGTGTTTGAATCGTTATCGACAAAAAATTTGATTTGATATAGACTGGATTTCAATCGGAAGTACTACAAATCTGTGTCTGTGATTCAACTAACATTATTATGAATAACAAATCTGTGTACATAGAAACTTCCAGAGGACTAGGAACAATATGATCAGAACAATAAGATCTAGAAAACAAGCACTTAAAATAAATCCCTCAAGATCAGCACACATCAATCAATCAAACACAATTTTTTCTCAAGGGAAATAGGAATTAGACCAAAGAGAATTGTGATAGGTATCCCCAAATGGCAAGATCATATCCTCCCCAGCAAATCCCATATTCTCAGGTGGGCTCATCAAGTCCATAAACCACTGCTGCTTTTGCATTGCATCGACATTCATCTCGAAACCACCCCTCTCTGCCTGCCGAGAGCTTTCGCCAACACTTGAAGGCCTAGGCACCGCAGCTGGAGCCTGCATCGCCGTCTTGTTCAAAGTGTCCACCCTCTTATGTATGTCCTTCAAGTGTTGGTCAATCAAGTATCCAATATCATTCAAGTCCAGAATGTTCAAACCATGGAGGCTCCTCCCGGTGAGACCTTGGAACATAACCTGAGTCATCTCCCTTTCGCGGTTATCTTTCCGCTGCTTCTTCAGCTGTTCATTCCCTTTCCCAATCCTTTGCCTGATAAAACTGTCCTGATTCACCATCTTCTTGCTCTGCTCCATCTCAGGCATCCTCTTGAACTGTGACAAAACTCTTTGGACTCCCAAAGGAGAAGGCCAAATCTCAGGTTGAGCATCATAGGGACTAAAAATGATAGCACAAGCATCAATCCCACAAAGAGTACTCAGCTCTCTCACCTTCTTCACTAGACCCTTCTTTCTTTTCTTGAAGGTTGCTTTTCTTGCAGAATCATTGCTGATAAATGCAAGTTTCACCTTCTTTCTAGTCATCACTCAAACCCAAACAAAGAAAACTAAAAGAAATATAGAAGCTTTTGAAATGCTTTCTTGCACTATTACAATAGTTTATACATGCTATATATAGATGTGTAAAGATACCAAAATTATTAACACAAGATTATGGATTTTAGGGCCACTCTTCTTGACAAACAATTTAAACAAACTTAGCGGGGTGCTCAAATCATTGCCATTAAATTACCAGATATGATGAAATCTGAGTAGTGATATTTAGGTGGTAATGTAATTGAGAGGATTTAATTTGGTGGGTTGGTGAAAGTTCATTCTTTAGTCTCTTTCATATGAGACAATTTATTATTGAATAGTCTTTACTGTTTTTGGAGACAATGGAAATATGAACATTCAATTCCATTAATGGAGACAGAAAGAAATTTCCATACGACAGATGTACATAGATATGGTGAATCGTAGGGTGTCAAGTGTCATGTCCCTATACGTATGCATACGATGTACAGAAGACTTTCTTATCTTATTGTGATGCCATATGATGTCACACTTACCTTCCATTTCTGGATATTTTTGTTTTAAGACATTTTTAGTTCTATCTAGTTTCAATGTTGCCCCTATAGAAAAAGATATCATGACTATTTTATGTTATTTTTATAGTATATAATTTGTCGGAAAATCACGAGAAAATTTAATATTACAAAGTGTCGGAAGATCTGAATAGAATTAATGTAACAATGATAATCATCTAATCGTATTTATTTTACATGATATGTATACGTTTAATATGATATTCCAAATGAGGAGGATATTTATGATATTAATTCGATCCGATTATTTTTATTGTAAAACAATAAATCAAGTAAAAGAGAATTTATATTTATATAATATAGATGGTATTAACCAGGAAATAGAAGAAACTTATACAGAACATGAGTATATAAATGAAGTTCAGATTTCAGAGACAACAGTTTCATGTAACTTTGAAATGAAAGTTGAAGCTTTCCTGTCAAAACCAGGCTGAGCAACCACAAGAACCAGAAATAGACTGTGAAATAAGTTGGTAAATTTTTAGATTTGCATCAATAAACACATAATTACACCTAATACATCAAAAATATGTTATATTAAAATAGTAAACTAGCAACATAAACACCATCCAAATCCATAATTAGTGCCATACCAAATGAAGATTAAAGATCAAAATAGAAGTTAAAAAGTGGAACCATATTCAACATTACATCCTCAACTCAATCCGAGTGGCCCTTCATCATGTTTAACTTCCATCCCAGAAACTATCTGACATTCAGGAATGTGACCTAGGAAAAGAGAAAACAATGAATAAAGAATGACCGTGTTAATGATAATAATTATGAAAAGATTGTTAAAGTAATTTCATACCTTGGCGTTGAACCCAAAACCAACTTGAATACATGTTACAGCCTTCAACATGTCTGGCTGAAGTCTACTATGATGTGGACTTAAAAATCCATTGTCATTACTGAAAGGAGATTTAGATGCAGCCATGGATAATGGAATAGCCAAGATATCTCTAGCAATCAAAGACAATAGAGGATATGCATTCCACTGTGCCTTCCCCCAAGTCAAAATATCTAAGTCCTTAGTATCGTCAAAAGGATTATCCAAGTAACTATCTAACTCCGGCTTCAATTGCCTCTCACCCTTATATTTATCCACCAAATACGAGGCATCTTCTTCCTCTTTGCCATGTTTTACAACAAAGTAAGGAACACATCTTTTAAAGTAGTCTGCTCCAAATTTAGTCTTCTGTTGATACTCATTCACAAAATCAGAACAAAAGCTGTGTATCCTTGTACTATGATCCTTTGCATCATCTACATAAATCTCCAAAAACACAAGCCCAATAAACCGCATCTTAAATCTAGGATCTAACACAACAGCCATGGCTTTAACTCCACAAACAACTTCCCAGTATGTTTCAAACTCTGTCATCATATTGGTAGCCCTACATTTAATGTCATCATCAGAAGATTGAACCACTTATTTATCGACAATCTAATATGAGAAAGCATTAGTAAAAACAAGACAGCTGTCATATATTTGGTCTTTAAAAACATCTCTTTCAATTCATTAAACACTTCCAAATGTTCACAGATTGCTTTTGCCATCTTCCACTCTGACTCTATAGGTAAACATTCACATTGTTCATCGCACATTTTCAAATGAAGAAAAACATCTTTATATTCCAAAGCAGTACTAAGCATCAAATATGTTGAATTCCACATACTTCTACTATCAAGCATCAATTTCTTAGTATATGCAACGTTCAATGTCTTTTTCAATCACTGTCATCTCATCCTTCATTATCAAATCTAAGATTTGAGCACAACACTGCAAATGAAAGAATCTTCCACCCATGACCTTAGAATCAACAGTAAATTTAGATATCAACATTGACATCATGGCATCATTGATGGAACAACTATCAATAGTTAAAGCAGACAATTTTCTATCCAAATTCCAATCAATCAAAAGTTCGACCAACTCATCGCAAACCATTTCAGCTGTGTAGGGAAATGGCATATGTATAAACCTAATATATTTAAATACAAGAAGTATAAAAAAAAAAAAACGTAAATATAACCACTTTGATTGAATTCATAAAATTAAAAGAACTTTAAGTCTTAAAAAAATACCTCATGATTCGACGTTGTAAAGCCCACGAGTCGTCAACGAAATGCGCTGTAACAGCCATATATCTACTCTTTTCATTATGAGGGGTAACAAAATCCACGCTAATAGCAATCTTACTCTCATTGTTGCCCATCATCTTCATTGTGTTAGTTCTCTCAACATCATACAATTTGAAGATTTCCTTTTTAAGCAAGTCGTTGCTCAAAGGACCAATCAATGGTTTGCAATATTTCATCAAATCTCTAAACCCAAAATATTCAACAAATGAGAGTGGAAACTCATGCATTAAAACCATTTTATCAACCATTTCTCTACCAATATTTACATCAAATTGAGGATCCACCCTTGCTCTTTTATTACCACCTTCAATTTCGGCTGGCCCTGTTTCATCCTAAACATTTTGCTGATCAACTTCTTCAGATAAATGCATTGTTTCCCTACAAAAACATTGTACATAAATCAACAAATAACCATCAAATACTTTTCAAGCTACATTTTGACCCCTATATATAAAACAATGCTCGACTTGTTCTGTAAAGTTCAAAACTTCCAAATTAGCACAAACATCTAATATGCAACTCCAATACTCAAATAACAACGGAACGGTAACTAACCAAATGTGTGGATAGCCTGACGGCGGAAGTGGGTTTCTTTGGCGGAGGCGGCTGTAGGCTGAGTTTTCTGTCATGTTTTTGGTTTTGGAGACTTCTGAGTTCTGAGTTCTGCGTTTCAAATCTTTAGCCAATAGGGCTACTTGTATCAAAACATGATCGTCTCTTTAAAAGAGTTCATTCATTAAGTGCCGTGGCCGGGACTGCAATCGAGTCGAGCCGAGCCGAGTATTGAGGAGCTCGAGCTCGGCTCGTCTGGCATTGTTGAAGCTCGAGCTCGACCGAGCTTCAATTGTCGAGTTCGGGCCGGGACGCATTTGTTTTGTTTTAAATTTCGAAAATAAGGAAAATCCCAGAACGAGATTTTGAGTTCTCTTGTTTTCAATCCCTTTTACATCTGTTTTAGGGATAAAGTTTACATCTTTAAGCGATTTCATCTTGTTACAGGGTGTAGTGTGTTAATTCTACTGGAGAAAACGAGGGGGCGGAAGGAAGAGTTTTTGAATTCGGGGGACTATGTAAAATTTATAAACTTGAGGGATCAAAAGGAATTACAAAGATACTGTATGCCTTTGGTTCAGTTAGTTAAATCCATTTAGCCCCTTTAATTTAATCAAACATAAAATAAACATAATTGAAACAAACAAAGGATACACTGAAGTAGGAACCTCTCTTGATCCGAGCTCTCCTAGCTTTTAATATCTCTTAGTACTAGAGGTGGGCAAAGGTGGACTCGGCAGTCCCAAGCTTGAGCCCAACTAGGATTAATCTCAATTTGGGCCCTATCCCTATCCTACTGAAGTAGGAACCTCTCTTGATCCGAGCTCTCCTAGCTTTTAATATCTCTTAGTACTAGAGGTGGGCGAAGGTGGACTCGACAGTCCCAAGCTTGAGCCCAACTAGGATTAATCTCAATTTGGGCCCGGTCCCTTAGGGATAGGGCCCAAATTGGCTAGGACCGGTCCCTAAGGGATTAGGTCCAAATTGGCTAGGACCGATCCTGAGTCTATCACTTTTGTGAGGGCTCAAATCGGAACCAGTCTTATGGGCTTCACTAATTTTAATTTAGCCCCTAATTGTAAAATTATTCTAACCTCTAAATTTATTATGTATTTCATATATTATATGAGGGTTTTGGTTATTTATAAGAGGATTTTTGAAATTAATCAGGCCCAAGCTTGGGACCAATCCTAAGCCTAGGCTCTGAAGGAGGGACCAGGCCTAGGACCAATCACCCTTCCCAAGGCCTAGTCTGATCCTTGAATCGATCCTCTCTAGGATCGGTTTTTGGGCCCTAAGTTCGACAGCGGATCACAAAATCTTGATGATCTTCTCTATCTAATGAATGGGGACTCCGCTTTGAAATCGTCCATCTTGCACCCACCCCCCAAGTATATGCTTCAACAAGAATCAGACAAGAATAGATTGATACAATATAAACCTTTGGTAAAATGCCCACCTGTAACCTAGTCGATAAATTACATTACATAGTCTGTTTTAGGGATTGACAACTTACCTGTTCAGTGACTTTGACACTGGACGTTCCCAAAATTGGTACTATTGGGTCGAGTGAATTCAATAGTAGACGTCATTAGGCATTCCATTGCCTAGCTCTACTTAGTACGTGTACATTAACGATAATGAATGGTTGGATATTGTTTCCTTTTAATATGCATTTTAATCAACCAATAATCATATTCTTGTATTTTGTTGAGGTAAAAGATCATACAAGTAGAGGATCCTGGTTCGAATACGATATTTTCATAATATAAAATCTAACAATATT